CAGAAGGATGTTTACCTATGCTTTATTGACTACGTGAAGGCTTTCGATTGTGTGGATCATGACAAGCTATGGACAACATTGAGAAGTATGAGTATTCCAGAACACTTAATTGTACTTCTGAGAAATCTGTGTCATAATATAGGGTTTTATTTCATGATTGCTGTTGTCAAAATAGTAGATAGGGGCTAACTTTAATTTTATCTTTATTAGAGCTTAATGGTCTTATACTCTTGGTCTTATATTACCATATGCTCTTTATGATCCTTTTATACTTCCAGTAATAAGTTTTCAGGAAAAATTTAGAATTATTTGCAGAAAGGATTATTTAGTTCATTGTATAAATTAATGACAAAAATTGTTTTAATGGATAAATGTGTTTTAGATGCCTGGAAGAGATGGGAGTTGAAATGAGCCTTGTAGGATGGGTGAAATGGTGGTTGGTAGAGAAATAAGGAAGGGATTCTATTCTGAAGGAACTAAAACAAAGCTATTTTGGGAAGAGACACACGATACATTTGGCACTAGCAGTTGTTGGTTTGGCTCACATATGGAGCCCTTGTAAAGGGTATCATAAGAAATGAGGCAGAAAAAGTAGATAGGTTCAACTTTATGCCATGCCAAAGAGGTACGATAGCTGAAATGAGGTCACTAGATTAGCAGTGTAACAGTACATAAATAAGTTTCAAATTAAAAAAAAAAAGTTAAAATTCTGAGCTTAACGCAGTGGGTGTAGGGGTAGATTGCTAAATACACATAAAGAGTTCATTAAATAGTTAATGAGAAAGAGTAGTGAGACTGACACTGGCCTGTTCTTCTGTGGTACTGGAATGGCAAGGTAGTTCAGCTGAGAACATGTAAACTGCAACTTAAGATGATCAGAGTCATTCTGAATGTTGGTATTTGTACTCTTTTAAGTTATTTTATCATGTCTTGGACTTGAGATTTTTAGCTTGAATGAAATTAATAAATACATTTTAGTTTCTTATTGATTGATATATGTAATTTTTTTTTTGTTTATTTTCATCTTGATAGTTGGGAGAGAAGGGTTGATGATCGTGGAAGAGTTTACTATGTGGATCATAACACTAGAACAACAACATGGCAGCGGCCGACCATGGAGTCTGTTCGAAACTTTGAACAGTGGCAGTCTCAGCGGAACCAATTGCAGGGAGCTATGCAACAGTTCAACCAACGATACCTCTATTCGGTAATCAACAAATTATGTCTGCACATTTGCCCTCCCTTTTCTGCTTTAGTGTTTTGGTTTTTGTTATTAATATTATAGACTACATTGCAGATACTTTTTAGTTAATCTTTAATAAATTTGTTTTCTGACATATATATACAAGTACTTCCAAAATTTTAATAAATGTTCTAATGGATTACTCCTCAGTTATATCTCCTAATTGAAGATAGTTTCTTAAATGCAGTTTCTTAATAATATATCTTGCCAAGTCTCCATACTCCTCCTTTAATTATAATCACTTTGTGTGCTTTAAACAAAATCCACTGTCTCATGATTTTACTTAAGGGCCAGTCTTACGACCTCTTAGTTATTCTTATTCCACCACAGCTTCTGAGAAACAACACTTCAATCTGTTTTGACTCACAAAAGATGATTGGAGATTGTTTTGTCTAAAAGATCTCACGCAGTCTAAAAACTCAAACAGTTGGTGATATGTTGCTTTTCAAAAGAAAACCTCCGTAAGTCAAGTGGCCATAGTTGTTATTAAGTACCATCGTGTCAGTTCCATCTCATAGTGAAGCTGTACAGGTTTTCCGAGGCCCAGCTGGTGAGTTCGAACCACTGACCTTGCTATTCAAGCTGACCTTGAGGTCTAGTGCTTATCCTACAGAACCATACCAGTACTTCAAGTGGGGGTAGAGGATCTATTAAATGGAAATGGTTGTTTTCAAGTGCTTCGAGTCAGTTCCAACTCAGAGAGACCTTGTACGAGGTTTCCGAGAAGGGGCTGATGGGTTTGAACTGCCGACCTTTCTGTTCAACCTGACCTTCTGGTTGAGTGCCACACTAGGATTTGCGGGTAGGGGATCTATTAAATGGATTTATTCCAGGAGGTAGAACAGTACTGGCATCTCTGGATAGTGTTTTGAGGAACTTATAGGAACCCAAAATGTAGAGGATACAAGAAAGAAATGAAACAGCAAAGAGATTTTTAAAGAAAATGTAAATAATTTCTTCAAAATCCTGCCTCAAGTACCTCTCTGAATTCCATTTTCTTCCAAGGTTAAATACAAAGTTCCTAATGGGTGGGAGTGGAGTGACCCAGCTTCCATAGCATCTCTTGTTGTTGTTGTTAGGTGCCATCGAGTCGGTACCGACTCTTAGTGACCCTGTGCACAGCAGAACGAACACTGCCCGATCCTGAGCCAACCTCACTATTGTTCCCATGTTTGAGTCCATTGATGCTGCCATGTGGCCAATCCATCTCTCTGGGGGGGTCTTCCTCTTTTTTTCTGACCCTCCACTTTACCAAACATGATATACTTCTCTAGCGACTGGTCCCTCCTGACAATATGTCTGAAGTATGAGAGATGAAGTTTGGCCATCTTGACCTCCAAGGAGCACTCTGGCTGTACTTCTTCCAACACAGATCTGTTGGTTTTATGGGCAACCCATGGCACTTTGAATATTCTCCTCCGACACCATAACTCAAATGCATCAATTCTTGTACGGTCTTCCTTATTTACAGCGTCCCTCACTACCACCAATTGCTGGCTTTTCCACTCCTCAGAAACCTTATACAGGGCCTCTTTGAGTTGAAACTGACTCAAAGCACTTGAAAACAACTCTTACCATTTAATACACATATGGTAACATTCCATAATCTAGCTTTATGTAGATATTAAACAAGAAATTCTGTGGTGTGTCTGTTTATTTTATTTTGGTTAGATCTATCTATGCATATGAAAACTTTGAGGAAACAGACAGGACTGAATGCGGTAAAAGATGTGTATCAGAAGTGTATTCTCTTGTAAATATCGTACTTAAAAAGTCATAAGTGGATTGAGGTTTAGTTTCCTCACACAACACTACAACACTGAACCTGCCTAAGTGTCCAGGCTAATATTTTATTGAATCAGTAGTGCCATCAAGTACCAGGTTATTTTTACCCTTTTTCTGTCTTGCCCCTGGTGTATCTCATGCCTGTACTTGATCGTGGACTTCACTACTGCAGTACAGGCAAGAAAAGAAGTAAGAGAAAACAAAAGACAAAGTTTTCTTAATACACTTATGCCTTCGTTTCCTTGGGAAGGGATGTCCTCACTAGAGAACTTTTGTCTATACCACTTTGGCCACAACTAGTCACTCTACTGTCTCAGTCACAAGGGAGGCTTGGTGGTGGATACATTGCTACCTCAAGCAGAATAGTGGTGTGGTTATCAAGGAAGGAGTGGAAATGGCTCTCAAAAATACAGTTTGATTTATCCATTACAAGGTTATAAAATATCAGGATGTGTGACCTTTACCACTAAGAAATGATTTTTTAAGTAATGATTTTTTTTTAATGTTTGTCATTCTTTAATAAAAATTGTTGATAGAATGTCTATATTTTCTTCAGAATCTATTTCTAGGTTTTATTAAAAGGTACAAGATTTTTATGTATATATGAATATGTAAAAGATACTGAAATTAAGATTTTTATAAGTTTATTTGTATAAACATAATACTGGAGATGAATATTCATACTGATTTTAATAAAAGGCTTTATTTATTTGAAAGAACACTGCTAAAGTTGTTCTATTTTTAAACAAATAAAACACCTTAATTTCTGTATCCCCTTCTTCCATCTGATCTTGACAGTCTGGATGATGGAAGCACTAGCTGGCAGCAGTAGAGGATCAGACGTAAGCACAGTTGTGAGTTGTGAGGGTGCACAGCCCTGGCAGTCTTTGTTCTGCTGTGCTGAGGGCCACTAGCAGTTGGAACTGAGTGCATGGCACCTAACAGCAACAGGAGATTCAAAGATTGATTTCAGTATATTTTTTTCTAAGTCATTTTATAAAAACTTCGTATCATTTGATTGATTCCTCTTACATCATGACATTTTTACTGCTTTCATATCTAGAGATTATTGTTCCCTTGTGCCTTTTACCATGTTTTTTAGAGATTTATAAAATTGATTCTGCCAGGTGCTGAGTGTATCTTATATTAAAATAGTTTTGTGGATTTTTTCTTCCCAAAACCCCTTCAATCAGGCTTCAATGTTAGCTGCAGAAAACGACCCATATGGGCCTTTGCCACCAGGCTGGGGTAAGTTAATATATTGTTGTTAAAATATCTGCAAGGTATAAAAATCAAGTAATTATTAAATGCTGTGCTCATTTTCTTTTTTAGAAAAAAGAGTAGATTCTACAGACAGGGTTTACTTTGTGAATCATAACACAAAAACAACTCAGTGGGAAGATCCAAGAACTCAAGGGTACGTATGCAATGCAGCCTTACTTAAATCACCTTGCATGTGTCTGTAGCTAGAGTTAAATGGTGCTTTCAGGGCCTAGAAAAGGTTTACTGTCTGATTTTAATTTTTTATCATTTTAGCCTACAGAATGAAGAGCCGCTGCCAGAAGGCTGGGAAATCCGATATACTCGAGAAGGAGTTAGGTACTTTGTTGACCATAACACTAGAACAACAACATTCAAAGATCCTAGAAATGGGAAGTCATCTGTGTAAGTGAAAAGCTGAAATTCTGCTTACCCTGCTGTCTAATGAGGACATGAAGTTCATTCTCTAGTTTAGCGACAAAGTTTACGTTTAGACTCCTGAAAACCTTGCGGATATCTCCCTTATCAAAAACTAAATTTGAGGCATATAATTTCTTAGTAATAACAACAGCAAACACTCACATAATGGCTCCTATATGCCTAGGATTGTTCTAAGCACTTTGCATATATTAGTTCATTTTATCTTTCCAAAACCCCTTGGAGGTAATGTTGTTGGTTCTGATTCATAGTGACCCTGTGCAGTGTTTCCAAGGAGCAGCTGTTAGGTTTGAACTGCTGACCTTGTGATTACCAGTTCAGTGCTTACAGTGTCACACCAGGACTCCCATGAGGTGTAGGTACTGTTATTTCTTCCCTTTTCCTGGTGAAAACTGACTTGTAGAGAATGTAAGTAACTGGTAGAATTAGACTGGCTAGTGATAGAGCTGGATTTCAGAGCAAGGCAGTCTCTTCAGAGGCTGTGCTCTTGGCAGCTGTGTCAAACTACTATAGCATCAGAGAAGGAGATAGTTCCAGATTTCCAGAAAACATACACAGGCTTATTCTCCCATGGAGTGGCTGATGGGTTTTAACCACCACCCTTATAATTAACATCCTATTATTGCTTAACCCACTATGTCACCGGGGCTCCTTTTACCAGATATCTTAAATAAGCACACCTCCACTCCTTATTCTTGAACATGTTATCTTTGTTTCACTAAGAAAATAGACACAATCATGAAAGATCTTTTGAAAATTCCCACCATCACATCTGTGCTCTTACCAACATCTGTCTTCTCTCCTGTTGTTATTGTTGAACTGTAATGTTTTCTGTTAAAGGCCAATCCTTTGATGAATTTGACCTATACTCATGGAGGTTGTTGTTATATGCCATGGAGTCGGTTCCGACTCATAGCGACCCTGTACAGGGTTTCTGAGGCTGTAAATATTTACAGAAGCAGAAAGCCTTATCTTTCTCCCATGGAACATCTGGTAGTTTCGAACTCCTGACCTTGCAGTTCCCAGCCCGATTCATAACCACTACTCTACCAGTAGTAACTCTAAATACCAACAGAGAGGGAAGGAGTCTTCACATGAAGTATCAATGCTATCCCCTCTGTACACAGAGTAGATAGATAGAGGCAGCTTAGACATTGGCTACCTAAAATGAGGGGGTGATAAAGGCATGAAGTAACTGGCTTACATGGTTTCAAGGGGGAGTTTAGTTGAAGAGTATGTGGGGAAAGAAAGAGTTCCCACTGAATAGTTCATCTTGTCTAGATGGATCTGGTGAAAAGAGATGGGGGATAAGATTCTTAGGATTTAATAGTGAGTAATTGTTATCACGACTAATTGCAACTGTCACAATTGTAAAGGTAGAAGTTTTGTAACAAAAACAGGGGAGTGATTAATCTTACAGTCCAGAAACAGAGGATCCTAGGATCATCAAGGGAAAGAGCACAAGCAGAATGAGAGACCTTATCCAGAGAAGCAACGACACCAGAAATGGAGGCAGAAATGAGGACATGGAGAGAGAGAGCAGCTGAGGACTCTAGATTCATGGGAAGAGAGGGACTAAGAGCTGGCGGCCAGGAGGCAGACTTGCAGAATGTGCCCTTTGGTGATGTCAATTATTATATATGCATGAGTGTCTTTTTAAAAAAAAGAGAGAGAGAGAGAGAGAGAGAGAAAGTGAATAGAGAGAAATGCTGTTAACTGATGGTACATGGAAGGGATTATAATCATTGTAATGAAACAAGGTGTATGATATGATATATTGAATGTAAAACTGATGATCTGCCTTATAAAATTTCACTCAATCCACAATAAAAACCTTAAAAAAAAAAAAAAGGCCAGTCCCTCAACTACCACACTAGATAGTTCTCGTTTACCTACTTAATTGTTCCGGTAATTATTACCTTTCTATGGAGTCCTGGTGTGGTGCTGTGGGTAAATGTGCTGGACTGCAAAGTCACTTGACCCTCATTGTCAGCAATTCAAGCTCACCACCCACTCCTTGGAAACCCTATACAGCGTCACTATGGGTTGGAATCAACTTGACGGCACTTAACAACAACATCCTGTATCAGGAAGCATGGTGGCTCTGTTAAGTAAGCCCTGGATCACAAACCACAGTGTCCAAAGTTCAAGTCTTCCAGCAGCTCTGGGGAGGCTTTCTGCTGCCATGGAGATTTACAGTCTCGGAAACTCTACACAGGGTCATTATGAGTCAGAACCGATTCGACAGCACTTAACAGCCACAACAACATCCTGTATCAACAGTTTCTCTTTCTTTATTGAATTATACTCATTAGCATACAAAAATGCTGTTACTTCCCCTAGACGACAAAGCAGAGAAAATAATGATTGACTTTACAGATTCATTCAATGACCTCATTCCTTCCTTACTCTTTTGTTAAAGTGTTTTTGGTGAACTTTTACACAGCAGTTTAGGCTCACATTCAACAGTTTCTTCAGGAGTTGTTCAATGACATTGGTTACCTTCTTCACAATATTTCCTCCACTCTGGTGGTTCCATTAATCTCATTTCTATGTCCCCTTACATTCTCATCTTTGTTTTAAAGTAACTGCTGACCATGACCATTGTTTGTATGCTGCCCTTTATAGGAAAATGACTTGAAAGAAATGTCCTTCTGCATTATTTCTAGTTTCTCTCTTAAACTGACTCCAAGAAGCTCCACTGAACCACCAGTGACCTAGTGAATTCTGGCCATTGGACTTAGCAAGAGCATTTGACAAAAGAAATCCATCTCTTGTGTCAAAGTAGTCCAGAGTACCTCACTTTCTTGAGTTTTTCTTCTGATGTATTATTGGTCTTTCCCCCCACCCCATTTGTTGAGTCTTTTTGTCCTTAGTCTCAGCATTGAAGTACCCAGAGCTGTGCTTACTTTTTCTTTTCACTCTCTTGGGGAATCTTACGTAGTGTCATGCTTTCAACAAAATATCTATATCCTTAAGACTCTAGAAGTTATATCTCTAGCTCAGACATCTCTCTCAAAACCTTGCTTTGTATATCCAGCTGCTTACTTGACATCTCTATTTGGATGTCAAAGGAGAGCTCCTTCCTGATGGTCCTCATAAAACCTATTCGCCAATAACAGTCTCTGTCTTAGTTAATGGTAACTCTGTTCTTACGTGTGCATCAGCCAGAAATCTTAGAGTCGTCCTTGAGTACTTCCTCCCTCACTTCATATACAACACTTGAAGAGTTGTAGTTACCTCAATTTCAGACTATATCCAGAATCCAGTTACGTCCCACGACATCCGCAGCTACCACTTTCACCCACTCTGTAAAGTTTCTCTCCGGGAGTGGTGCCATAGTCCTCCACCACTCTTGCTGTTGTTTTCTACCTGGGCCCCATACAACAGTGAGACTAATTTCTTAAACTCATTCCCCTGCATAAAACATTTCAGTGGCTTTCATTTCTATCAGAATTAAAAACAAAGTCCTTACAGTGGCCTACAAGGTCTTATAAGAAAGACTTGATCCTCTATTCTCTTCAGCCTCATCTTTGTCCTAACTTCACTGTCCACTTCACTATATACACCTGAGGCAGCTTCCATCTAAGGTCTTTGCTTCCCTAGGCAAGAGGTCCAGAAGTTTCAGTGTGAATCAAACAGTTCATAAAACCAATATTCCTACATGCCAGCTACTCTGCCTCTTCCCTCTTACCAGCTGAACCATGGGACCCACATGTAACATTTTCCTAGGGATTTGACTTCGCTTTGTTTACTATATCACCAGCAGAATTTATTTCAGTGTCAGGGTAGGTTTTAAGATGTACTAGAATTTCTTTACATGTGTCTTCTCCTGTCTTCCTTAGATTAGAATTATCAAAGGTTTTGTATTGTTTTGTTTTGTTATTAATCAGTAGTGAGCTTTACCATTTCAATTAACTACCTACTTCACAAAGATCCCTAAATACAGGTTTTCTCTGGGTTTGGGAGTGCGGATGCATTTTCCTGTTGCTGTAATGTTCTTGCTTGCTCGAGTTTCTGTTGCCCCACTAAATGAATCTTCACTTTCTGCCAGCAGATAACTCCCCAGTGATTATTTTTAACACTAAATTTCATATTGAATATGAATATTGTACTTTATTATAAAATCATAATATAGCTTATTTTTGTTTCTCCATAGAACTAAAGGTGGTCCACAGATCGCTTATGAACGCAGCTTTAGGTGGAAACTTGCTCACTTCCGTTATTTGTGCCAGGTACTACAGTGGTAAATAAATCTTCTATTCATAATCATCTAGTCTTATCTGTACACAGCACAGATACGGTGACTCACATGATACTGTGATATTCTTCTTTCTAGTCTAATGCACTACCCAGTCATGTGAAGATCAATGTGTCCAGGCAGACATTGTTTGAAGATTCCTTCCAACAGGTAAGCAAGTGTTACGAGAATGTGCCAGTTTGATCTGTCTCCTTGTATTCTGTGTGTCTTAAGGGAGTTAGAATTTGAAAAGTTTTAAGTCATTCACAATACAACTGTAAGAATGGCTGTCCTTACTGAGACCCTACTATAATAACAGTAGTAATATAAGCATCTTGTATTGAGTGATTACCATGTGCTTGGCACTGACAGTTTCTATGTCTTATTTCATTTAACTCATCCTCACAGAGCCCCTTTGAGATTGCTCTTGTCATTATCTCCATTTTACAAGTAAAGATAATCCATTACTTTTACTTTCCACTGGTTATGTGTAGGACTCTGGTGGACTCAATTTCATACTGAATATTAAATATTCATCTTTATCTGCGAGACATGTTAGTTCTACCATGAATTCAGATATATAGTTACTAATGTAAAGTGTCAGCAGAGTTTGGAACTAGTTAATCCATTTTGACAGTTAATTTTCCTAAAAATTTAGTAACTCGAACAAAAAATGTTTTGATAGTCACTACCAAATTATACGGAGTCCTGGTGTGGCCCTGTGGGTTTATGTGCCAGACTGCAAAGCCGTTTGAACTACAAGGTCGGTGGTTCAAGCTCACCAGCTGCTCCTTGAAAACCCTGTACAGGGTCACTGTGGGTCGGAATTGACTCAACGTCACTTAACAACAACAACAACCAAATTAAAATAGAATTGGTAGATGCTGCATTCCATATGAAAGTTTCTTTATAACTCTGATGTTAATTCTCAACTCCTTTCGGTGTCTGTGTAAATGTCATTGATAAAGTAGACTGCTTACATGGAGTATTTTCCACTGTGTGAAATCTTAAGTCCCTGCTCACCTCCTTCTCAGTCTTGTTTTGTCTAAACATTTATAGTACTTTGTAATATGAATCACCACCTGACATAATATTTGTTTGCTCTGTCTTTTTACTAGAATATTAAGTTTCTTAAGAGGAGGAAATACTGATTTATCACTGTTACTCCCATAAGATAGGAGTCCTGGTGTCATTCTGGGCTGCTAACTGCAAGGTCAATGGTTCCAACCTACCAGTCCCATCTCTCCATCCTTATTCAGGCTTACTGTGTGTTGGAACTGACTCCACAGCACTTAGTATAGTAACAGCAATCTAAAGATAACAAATCTGAATGTTGTCTGTTTTTTGTGTGTGCTTTTTTTCTGAAGAAGTGGAAGATCTTTCCTGTTCTCTTCTACTCAAAACTATTAAAATGATGAATTGAAGTTGCCTATATATACCAAGGACACAGAAACTTTTACCTATGCAGAATGGATTAGTACTCTGGAGTCAGAGACATTCACATCCTAGCTCAGCTGTACTAAAGGTTGAACTTTGGGCAGAATACCATGTAGCTGTGGTCAAAACCCATGCATTCTTAGCAAAATAAGTGTCAAATGGATTAGCTTGTTCCATGCTCTGTTTCAGGTGTATTTTAGTATTACATCTGAAGTCATGATGGACTTTATTTTGCTTGTTGTTTTGACACCAGCATGAGCCATGCCTTGGTGTTTCCGAAGTGTCAGTCTGAGCTATGATTGATTACCCCTGTGTCAGAGCCTTCCTGGTGAACTGTGCTCTGAAGCGGTGTAGCTTTGGTTTTGGTGTATGTGTGGTGAAAAGAATGCATTTTTATCTAAAATGCATACTTACTAGTAACCCGGACGTAAGTTACTCAAAATTTCTAACAGTTTGTATAGGTAATGTTTAGAATAAAATATGTATATATATATATATATTCAGTATTTTATAAATTGTTTTTTGTTTAACTGAATCCCTTTTTTACTGAGAAGTGGGAATCTGTGTTATAAACAGGACACAGCACAGTATCTTTTGCCTCTCATAAGTATCACTTGTTAAGTGTTTTGAGTTGGTTCCGATTCATAATGACCCTGTGTTCGTGTGTAGCGTTTCTGAGACACTGCTGGTCAGCTTGAACCACTGGCCTTTTCGTTCAAACTGACATTGCAGTCTAGTGGTGTACTGCTTATTGTACAGTGCTACACCCAGGACTCCTAAGTATCACTAGTTAGAAAATTTTACAAGTCACTTTGTGAAAAAAAGGATCATGGTACTATTTGCAGAGGACTGAAAAGGTGGTTATTTTCTAACTCTGGAAGATATCTATGCCAAACGTTTTCCTCTCTTGCCACCAATCATACATGGGAATACTGGTTAATGCTAAGAGAAGGGAAGAGACTATGTGAAAGTGAATCAGAGAAAGATTAATAGAATAGGTGGGTTTTAAGTAGTTTATGGAACACATCAATTGATATCTTGAGCTTTGTGGTACAAGATAAGGACATTTGTAACTTTGAAAATACAGATGAATTTTAAACTCACTTTTGAATGCACTTAAATTTTATAAACACTTTTTTTTTTTTTTTTTTTTATAGATTATGGCATTAAAACCCTATGACTTGAGGAGGCGATTATATGTAATATTTCGAGGAGAAGAAGGACTTGATTATGGTGGTTTAGCAAGGTAAAATAAAAAACATATATAGGTGCTGTGGAATGAGTATACAGTAGATGTATTCCTGAAAAGGTATAAGTACACTGGATTATATTTTGCCAGTAGCAAGCAGAATTATTTTTAAGAACAAAAATTAAAATATCTCCATACTTCTAGAAGTAGGTGTTATTTCTTACCTTGGCGGTCCTTTTGAACATTTTCTCTGTATGTGCATACACACATACATACACTAGGGTAAGTCAGAAAGTATTGCTACTGTGGTTCCAGTTCATACAAGAGGGCTTCAAAAGTTTGTGAAAAAATAGAAATAAAAAATAATAAATGTTTCCACAAACTGTTTGACGGTTCCTCGTATATGCATGACTTCATACCAAATCTGCCTCTGCAGTCAGTGGTGAGTTCTGGCAGGTTGTCTCAGTAATACATTTGTATTAGGGTCATTAAGTTGCCTTTCCAATAAAAGATACAGTTTGCATCATGGAATAAAAATGATTTTGAGTTCTAACCTAGTATCAAATTTTTAACAAAATTCAAATGGACATCTTTCCAAATCACTGAAGCTTTGCACCAACTTTACATTAATGCTGCCCCACACAAAACAACAGTTTTTAGATAAATGAAGTGTTTTAAGAGAGGTCAGGCAGATAAGAGCAAGACTGTCGAACTCGACAGATGAAGAAACCCTGACTGAAGCCCAGGAATTGGTGAGAGAAGACCATAGAGTTACCATCGATGCAGTAGCTAATGAAGTTCAGATTTCACATGGTTTGGCATTGTCAATTTTAAGTAAACATTTTGACTTCAGCAAGCTTTCACCTCAATGGGAACCAAAAGTATTCCACGAAGATAAGCTAACACAGAGAGCGGATCTTTCTGTCAGTCTTTTAAGTAAGTTTAAAGCTCATGAAGATGATTTTATGAAATGACTCATAATTGGGATGAGTCTTGGATACACTAATGTGATCCTAGAGCAGTAGTTTCCAAGAACAGTACTTTCCAAGGGGATCTGTGGGCCAGTTAAATTCTGGCTGATAGAGCAACTCTGAAGGTTATGCACAGTACTTTTTGGAATTTGAAAGGGGTAATCTTGATGGATTTCCTTCAAGGACACAGGATAATTGTGGATGATGATCATAGGGGCTTATTACAAAGAAGGTTTTTTGTTTGTTTTTCAATGGAAAAACTTCAGGAAAAGGCCAGAAAATTTTACTGAGGAAGTTTGTTTCCATCTTGGCATTCTTCAAGGATGCAAGGACTAGCCTATAATTATTTCCTTGGGAAATCTTATCCTATCCACCCTACAACTCTGATCTTGCCTTGTTAGATTTCTTAGAACATTTAAAAGGAACATAATTTGAGTCCCACAAAGATACCAAAATTTCCAGTTTAATGTTGTGTAAATTAAAGAGTGAAGAATTCTTCAGGGAAGGGCTAGAAAGATACAAACATCGCCTTCAGAACTGTATAGACCTAGAGGATATATCGAGAAACAATAGCTTCACATTTTGATATTTTTGCTAAATAAATGTTTATATGGTTTTGTAGCACTACTTACTGCCTTACCGTCATGTATGTTAAACACACAAGCTCATCATACAGTACGTATGAGATGTATCAGCTTTTGTCATTTTATATCTCATGGACTTCTCTCTATTAGTGTGGTGGTGGTTATGGCTGTGGAGTCGGTTCCGACTCATAGCGACCCTGTACAGGGTTTCCAAGGCTGTAAATCTTTACGGGAGCAGAAAGCCTCATCTTTCTCCCACGGAACAGCTGGTAGTTTCGAACTACAGACCTTGAGGCTAGCAGCCTGATTCGTAACCACTGTGCTATGGAAACTCATTTGGTATTAGTATTATTGTTGTTGTTGTTGTTATGTGCTGTCAAGTTGGTTCCAACCCATAGTGACCCTGTATAGGGTTTCTGAGGAACAGCTGGTGAGCTTGAACCACTGATCTTGCAGTTCAAATGGCTTTGCAGTGTGGTGCATTAACCCACAGCACCACACCAGGACTGAGCTTAATACACTTTTTTTAACAGCTGCATAGTTGTTTGTATGGAAATACCATAATTAGTGGACCAGCATACAGAATGTTACTTCTTATTTTCTAATATTGTAACAACATGAGTTGATTGTATAATTGTTTTGTTAATCCAGTCTAAAGCAGTCTTAGTCTTTTGAGAATTAAGTATTCCTCATTCACTAAATGTATTGATAATGTTGTTGTTAAGTTCTGACTCATCATGACCACCCTGTATAGGGTTTCCGAGTAGCTGCTGGTGAGTTTGAACCACAAACCTTGTGGTTCAGACTAACCTTATCCTACAGTACCACATAGACACTTACAAAGCATTGTAAGTAAATCCTTTTTAAATTTCTCCCCATGTTTGCCTTGCCTAAACTTAAAGTCCTGGTGTGGCATTGCAGGTTAATGCACTGGACCGCAAGGTCAGTTTGAACCACAAAGTCGTTGGTTCAAACCCACCATCCACTCTTTGGAAGCCCTATACAAGGTTGCTGTGGGTTGGAGCTGACTCGACAGCACTTAACAACAACAACACAAATTTAATTTGGGGTCCTGGTGTGGCACAATACGGTAAGTACTGGATTGCTAACTACAAGTTTGCTGGTTCAAACCTACTGACTGTTCCTTGGAAACCCTATACAGGGTCGCTAGAGTAAAAACTGACTCGATGACACATAACAACAACAACAAACTTAATTTAAGGAGCTCTCGTGGCGTAGTGGATTATGTGTTAGACTGCAAACTGCAACGTCAGCAGTTCAAATCTACCAGCTGCTCCACAAGAGGAAGATGAGGCTTTCTGCTCCCCAAAAGATTTACAGCCTCAGAAACCTTATACAGGGTCACTGTAAGTCAGAACTTAACAGCACACAACCACAACCACCAAACTTAATTTGATAATTGACTTTTTTGCAAAAACACTTTTCAGTAAGTCTTTTCAAAGATACTGTGTTCCATTTGAATGTTTTTTTTATTAATCCTAGTGAAAACTTGATTTTTATAGAAACCAAAACGACACCCATTGCCATCAATTCGATTCTGACTCATAGTGACCCTATACAGTTTTCTTACTGAACTCACATTTCACAGGTACACTAAATTACATAATTAAAATTTTATATGCCCCTAACAAAAATGGATGAGGGACCAAGCCCAGCGGGGAGCGGATCTGTCTATCAGGTTATCAGAATGTTGATGATGGTTGCATATTTCTTAATCTGAAACATCATTAAGAAACATCTGCAATGAAAGAAACACCATATACCACTTCTATTGTGATTTACTTCAATTTCAGAAATGTCAATACATTGAAAAGAAATGAGGAAATATTATTTTGTTGCTTTTGCTTCCCCCCCCCCTTTTTTTTCCATGTGTCTGACTTTATAATGTAGCGTAGTGGTTACGAATTGGGCTGCGAACCTTAAGGTCAGCGGTTCGAAACTACCAGCTGCTCCGCGGGAGAAAGATGAGGCTTTCTACTCCCGTAAAGATTTACACCCTCGGAAACCCTGTACAGGGTCGCTATGGGCCGGACCCGACTCGACGGCACTTAACAACAACAACAACACCACACTCTTGCCTGGCATCGTAACATTTGCATTCTTGCCTGACCCCATATTTGTTTTGTCTGTGTTTAGTTTTATGTTTTGATGGCTATAGTGTGTACAGCCAGTACTTCCATGCCATAATTTTCTTATTCCTAAATTCTTTGTATGTATTGCATGACTAGATTCATCATCAAATGTTTATTTAAGGTTTCAAAGTTATAATATATCCTTGGTGTCTTTGCATGTTTGAGAGCATGCTTCTGTTGCTTTCATATATAAATAGTCTCACTAGATATATATTCTTGCACAACACTTGTTTCTCTAGACCCCGATGGTCATTGCTTCTCTTCTGACATGAAGTGTGAGGACAGCCCCTTGTAGGAAACTTGCTTTTTTCTTCTGGTTTTTCCTACAGACCTCTTCCTTGAATTTCATTAATTTCATTTTTAATTGTTTTATATCTACCTTTGGAAGATATTAAGATCTTCCTTAATTTCAAGGATGTTTCCTTCTATTATATCTTTGAATATTTTTTCAGTTCCATTTGTTTGATGTTTCTTCAGGAACATCAATCATGAGTATATGGAATCTCCTTTGTCAACTTCAAATGTTTGTCACCTCTGTCTCCTTGATCATTTTTATCATTTGCCTGTGTTTTCCCATTTTGTTTGGATTTGTTCTCAAAGCCTATCATCCTATGACTGACTGTAATACTGCCCAACATGTTGCTGATTCTATGTGAGCTTTCTTTTTAAGTGGTTTTCTTCTCTGGGCTCTCTAGCTCATCTGTTGTCTCATAAATGTTGTATCTCATGCATTTCTTCAATTTATTTTTGAGTATAGACAGAGAAAGATTTGTCTAAAGTGCCCTTTTTTAAAAAAATAGTTACTAGTTTTTCCTCCTTTTTGCTAATATCTGGATATAGTTTAGCTGCCCAGGTTATAGCCATTCTTCTTTAGAGTGGATTCCGTGTTCTCTGGGCTGCCATTAGTTAGAAGTGATCTGAGGCAAATGGACATTTATTTGTGTGGTCTAAACAAGTTCTCACTAGATTTGCTCAGTTCTCTTCCTTAGGGACATGTCTTACTTTAGCCTTTTTCCACAGAAGGAATTTGTCTTGGTTCAACTACTATTTGGGACTAGATTTAATTTTATGACTTGGTGCTTATCGCTTCTCAGTTGATTGTGTTCAGGGTGTACTTTTCTGTTTCCTCCCTTTCTGCTTTTCAGACCGTTTCCTGTATTTGTACAGATTTAGAAAACAATTTGCCGACAAACCGCCAGGACCAATCTAGAGTGCAGAGTGACATTAACATTTTTAAAGTACTAAACAGTAAAAATTCATGAGATTATTCTTATAATTCACAATTTCTAGCTATTCTTTAAAAACATTTGACCTGCATTCCTACCTTCTCACAGGCAGCAATTGGCTGCTTCCCCCTAGGAAAGTGTATGTGACTTCACTGCAGTGCTCACCATGCCCAGTGGTCTACAGATGCTGAGAATGTGCCTGGGAATTCCTTTTCCCTCAGAGCAGTAATCCTTCTCATCAGGAAATACTGCAGGATGAGGGATTGTAGCCACTAGAGAATGTGAGCTCCGTCTAGACACAGAAGGCTCATTTGCTCATTTGCTGATCTGAATGTGGACCCTGCTGTGGAAGAAATTACTTTTGAGAGATCCTTTTGAAAATTAAGTATTTATTTTATAAATTTTGATTCTTTATCTAGTTGGATTTCCTATCGTGGACATTATTTAAGTGATGCAATGCTTATCACATTCATCTTGTTAATTCTAGTTCCATTTTTAATACACTAACAAAATCAAGTGAAAACTTTCCATCACAGAAGTACTGCATACTATAGTATCACCAACAAATATTTATTAAAATCTATTGTCTCTAGTGTGTAGAATGCCTATAAGAGCTAAGTATACAGAAACTATATAAAGATAAGATAATTGGCCTTGGAGAAACGTACATTCTGGATGGTACAGCATATGTGCATAAAAATGAATAATATTGCAAGTTTGTCACCATAGAGTGTTCAGTAACTGACTTAAATAATAAGCTACATAGGGATTTAGAATATTGCCAAGGGGTGGGATTTGGTCTGGACTTGAAAAGACAGATAGGGTCTATGTGCGCCCATGCTAAAGTATAGAAGTGGAAGGAAGGATGTTGTGAGGAAGAATATTTGGCTACCCACAGGAGCTGGCAGGTTATTTTAAAGGGAGGGCTAGGTCATAGAGGGACATAAATAAAAAGATTGAGGAATTGGGCACCAGAGTTGCTAAAGGCTCTTAAACACAGGTTTAAAAAACACATATTGTTTATGTATATTTAAGGTGTGTGTTGGAATTCGTGTATTTATGAACACTAAATAAACTTAAACTTTATTTTCTTATAGAGAATGGTTTTTCTTGCTTTCACATGAAGTTTTGAACCCAATGTACTGTTTGTTTGAGTATGCTGGCAAGAACAACTACTGCCTGCAGATAAATCCAGCATCAACCATCAATCCTGATCACCTCTCCTACTTCTGTTTCATTGGTCGCTTTATCGCTATGGTGAGTGCTGAACTCAGTTATTTTATTTATTTAAACTTTGCTTATTTCAGAAGTATTTTTTACACAGGACTTTAAAAAAATTTATATGAGGAAGCTTCAAAAGTTCATGGAAAAATTCCATTATATCTTAATTTGATTTTTCCACAAACTTTTTGAAGCCCCCTCATAAACATTCTTTGTTTTGGACTATACACAAATTTTAATAACCATGAAATTTTGCCTAAGAGGCTAAAAAACTACAGTGCATTTTTTTGACTACCTGTAGAATTCTGGTGTGGTGCTGTGGGCTAATGTGCTGAAATACAGGTTTGGTTTGAACTGAAAGGTCGGCAGTTCAAGTTCACCAGCCCCTCCTTTGAAGCCCAATATGGGGTCACTGTAGGTCAGAACCCTGCAATAACATATGACATCAAAATTATGATGAGTATTATATATATCATTGTGTAGTCTGTTGTAAGCACTGGAGATGATACCGTTATAAAATAGACACAGCCCTGCACTCAGGGATCTTAATTGTATTTGAGGGTGACAAATAATAAATAGATGCTGGGGGAAAGAAAGAATGTTGCTCTTTTATACACTATGGTTACTATGGTTAGAGGAGGCCTCTCTGATGAATGATACATGAACGGAAACATTAAGAAAACAAAAGGATGGGTCGTGCAAGTACCTTGGAGAACATTCTAGGGATGGGAACCAGCAGGACAAAGTTCCTGAGGTGGAAGTGCATGTTTTATGAGAAGCTCAGTATGGCAGAAGCAGAAATATGAGAGAATGTGTAGGAGAATGAGAGGTGCTGTGTGAGACCCTTAGTAAGTTCCCCACGAGGGTTTTGAGCAGAGACATTATAACCGGACCTGACTTAAATTGTGTTAACATACTTTGCTGCTGTGTAGAGTAGAGACGGTAATAGGGGGCAGAGGACAGCAAGCGTAGAAACAGGGAAACCATTTGTAGCAATCCAGACAAGAAATTATAGTGGTTTGTGCTGGTGTGTTCTAGCAGTGAAGATAGTGAAAAGAGGTTTGTATTGCGGACATATTTTGAAAAGTAATGGGGTTTTTTGGCAGATTATGTGCAAAATGTTAGAGAGTCAAGTGTGGCACCTGCCCTCTGGTTACAATTGCCATTTCTTAAGGTGGGCAGGATTGTGAAAAGAGCAGGTTTTAGAGGTGGGAAGGAATCAAAATTTGGGTTTGGGTATGTTAAGTTTGAGATGCCTATAGATTCCGAGTGGAAAAGTGGAGTACGTATTCGTACTCACAAGAGAATATATGAGTTTCCTGAAGGATATCTAGACTAGAGATGGACATTTGGGAAGTTTCCCACATATGGAGACTACTGAAATCTGTGCTGTGTTTAAGGAATACATGTGAATAGAGAGGCTGAAGGAAATGTGTGAGTTTAGGAGATGAGAAGAACCAGAAAAAGGGCTGAGGAGGAAGTAGGAGAACCGACTGAGAAGGCTTCCCAGATCCAAGGAAAGAAGGAAGAAGTGGTCCACTCGGTCAGACGTTGCTGTTAGACTGAGTAAGGTGAGTTCTGAACATTGACCATTTGACCAGTTAGGCAGTAACTAGAAGCAGATGTAGGACAGAAAATGAAAGAAAGAAGCATAGACTAATTGTGTGCTTCTAGCATTTGTCAGGTAAGAGGTGAAAGAAATTGATAAGGCCAGTGAGGTACAGAATATGGAGCAATGACCATGAGTAGGGGAAAGAGAGGAAAGGATTAATTGAGGCTCACAGAAAACTTGTTCATATCGGTTGTATAAAGATTCAGATGCTAGCAGTTAGCAGATACGGTGGAATATATGAAACTTCTCTTCCAAGTGCTTCTGTTTGTTTGCTCAGGGAAATAAGATAGATCATCACCTCAGAGTAAGGAGTTGGGACAAGGCATTTGAAGAAAGAAATAATCATTTAAGAGAATGAGAGCCTGGATGCAATAGGGAAATGAGTATGCCAGCATCACTAAGCTCTTCTTCAGGGTTTTTACTCATGAAGCAAGTTTGTGGATAAATTTCTAGCATATTCCACTGCCTGGGTACAGGCATGGAGTAGATTGAGAATTGAATATAGGTAGGCTTGGGGTTTTGTCAGAAGTATGTTAGAAGGAGACAGGGTCTGAATGCATATAGATATATCTATATAGATATATATAGAGAGAGAGATACATAGGGAGTAATTATATATGTGTATATATATATATATATATATATATATATATGGAGTAATTTTACTGAGTGACTATGGCATCTAAACTGGATAAGAGGAAAAAAAAACTTCATGAGGTAGTAGGTTCAATAGATAGATATTCTGGGTCCCATTGGGGTAAGAAACGGTTGGCTTTAGTACTAAAGGCAGTGAGCTGGATAATTGGGTGATGTTTGAAATTCAGATTATGGAGGAACTGGATTTAGCTTAATGACAGGCAGAGTTAGGAATGTTCAGCTAATTAGAGTTAAAACTGAGATAACTGCAAGGACTAAAATGCCAGGGTCGTGAAACAGTCATCACTGTGGATGTGGAAACCTCCAGTTATAAGAGTAGTACAGAAGAGCATGGCAGTGAGTCCTGAAAACCTGGAAGGAATAAGAAAGAGAGAAACACAGAGGTCAGAGGATGACTGTAATAAGGAACGGCAACCAGTAATGTACTACGATGGCCCGAGCTGTAGGACTAGGGCAGGTTAGGGAGAGGACCATAATCTGGAATTAGTAATGAGGAAAACCCATAGCCCACTTCTATGCCTGTTGACATGACAGGGCAGGGAGAGAAACAGCCATCACTTGAGGGACCTTGGGGAAGCAAAGTCCTCAGAAAAAATGGCAGATTTTTGTGAGAGCAAGAAGTTTTGAGGATCTTCAAAGAAAAGAGCTGTGGTTATGTAGGGGATTTTTCTAATAATAGACCATGAGCACCAGAGGTTAAGTTATAATGTTTGGGGGAGTTTGGGAAAGTGAGAAAGATGGCATCTGATTTTAGAGTTTGATAGGCATATGACAGTGAGAGTCAGGGGAATGAGAGAGTCAGGGACTTCCTAGGTTGACCTTTATAAATAGTGAGGAAGGTCTGATGAGCTCAGTGCTGACAATCTCATAGGCACCAGGGAGAGTTAGCAAGAGATCAGGAAGGGGTCTTTTATATGCATGGGGAACTGAGTTCCCCTCATTTCAACTCAGTACCCAGGTAGGTTAATTCCATTATAAAATCTATTAGGATGAGCAGGGTTTTGGGTAATAAAGTTCCTTTTCTATCTTCTTGTACAGTTAGTGGTACGACTGGATACAGCTAATGGTTTGAACTAATTGAACTGAATTTTAGCTCTGTAATTTGGTTTTCATACTTACCATTTTATGATTTATGTCATTAAACTTACTGAGTATAACTTTTTTGCCTATAAAATGATTTTTTTTTGTTACTGTGCTCTAAATAAGAAAATTTTTCTTTTGTGAACTTTAAATTTTTTGTTTTCTTTCACAGGCACTTTTTCATGGAAAATTTATCGATACTGGTTTCTCTCTACCATTCTACAAGCGTATGTTAAGTAAAAAACTTACAATTAAGGATTTGGAATCAATTGATACTGAATTTTATAACTCCCTTATTTGGATAAGGTTTGAAGTTCAATTTGTTTTTAATAAATCTTTTTTTTGAGACATATTTTTACATTTTGTTAATTAGTGGATATATTTTATTTTACCCAGAGACAATAACATTGAAGAATGTGGCTTAGAAATGTACTTTTCTGTCGACATGGAGATTTTGGGAAAAGTGACTTCACATGACCTGAAGTTGGGAGGTTCTAACATCCTAGTGACTGAGGAGAACAAAGATGAATATATTGGGTAAGGTACTATGCTTCATTGACTGGAATTTCTAGAACTTTCACATTAGAACTCTTTCCTCCATCTGTACCCTGACTATTCCCTTTTCTATCTCCTCTGGGAAGATATTCCACATTTATTACTCTTTCGCTTCTCCTTCTCAATCATTTTCTCTCTCTTCAGTCTTTCAACTGATAAAAATGCACAAAAAATAGTAAAAAAACCTCAAATGTACTTTTAAAAAGAGCTTCCCTTGCATGCATTTGTTTAAGCTCTCCTTCCCAACAGTACTTGGCTTCTTGAAATAAGAGGGTATATGACAGCCTTCACTGTACCACAGCCCCTTGCTTTTTGTGTTGCTTGCATGCTGCATTCTGCTCAGATCAGAAATCACAGAATATTGAAACTAAAGAAGGCTTTGGAAAGATTGTGCAGCCCTTCATTTCTAAATGAGGAAACCAAGACTCTGTTGTTCAGTACCATCAAGTTGATTCTGACTAATAGTGACCCTTGATAAAGTTCCCAAGAAGCAGCTGGTGGATTTGAACTGCTGGCCTTGTGATTAGAGTCCAGTGCTTTTCTAATAGTGCCACTTCAGGACTCCACAGTTAAGTGAGTACCTTAAAAAAGGGAATCTAACATGGAATCAAAAATAAGCCTTTGCTTGGCAGTCAAGGCTAGGCTTCTAACCTGGGTTTTGCAGTGTTGGCTGTTCAAGCTCACCAGCCAATCCTTGGAAACCCTACAGAGGGTCACTGAGTCGGAATTGACTTAACAGTGCTTAACAACAACAGAACCGTGGGGTCCTGGTGTGGCACTGTAGGATAAGCTCTGGACCGCAAGGTCAGTTTGAACCACAAGACCAGCAGTTCAAGCCCACCAGCCACTCCCCAGAACCCCTGTACTGGGTTGCTGTGACTCAGAACCAACTCAACAGCACTTAACAACAACAATAACACTTAACTGTGCTCACCACAACCTCCATTTTGAAAATCGTTATTCTCTTATTGAATTCTGTGATCCTGTACCAGTCTGGTTTCTCTTCAATTTCTCTTTTAATGATTAACATTCTGTAAATCGTCATCTCCTAAAGGATGGTATTTTTTCTAAGCTTCTTTGTTCAACCTGTTTCTCTGAATTCTTCTGAACCATGACTTCAATTTTCTGTTAAAGTAATATCTGGACATTAGAACATAGTTTCCATTTGCCAGCCAAGTAGATCCAAACATTTTCCATAAAGGAGCAGATGATAACTATTTTAGAGTTGAAAGCCACTTGCAGTCTCTGCTGTGATTACTCACCTTTGTTAGCTTTGTGCAAAACCATTAGCAGTAATGTGGTTGTGTTCCAATGAAAGTATTTGTTATTGTTAAGTATTTAAGTACGGTTCCAATTCATAGTGACCCTGTGCATGTAAATCTTTATGGGAGCAGAAAGCGTCATCTTTCTCCTGTGGAACAGCTGGTAGTTTCGAGCTGCCAACCTTGAGGTTAGCAGCCTAATTCATAACCACTACACTACAGAAAGTATTTGTGGACACTGTAAAAATGGACTTGGCATGATATTCACATGCCATAAAATACTATTTTTATATTTCGTCAACCAATGTAAATAATGTCAAAACTTCCTCACCCCATGCTGTACAAAAACAAGCAGTGGGCCAGTTTGCCAGCCAATGACCTACTACAAATGACCTCCCTTAAATTGAATATATCTGAAATCCAATTCCTTGTATTTCTTCAACTATCACCTCTTCTTGATTTACATCTATTAATAGTACTCTCATTTTCATCCTATTTTACATTTGAATTTTTTAAATAATTTTTAATATGAATTGAGTGACAGTTTACAGAGCAGATAATCAAATTAACATTCAAAACATCATTTACTTTGTTTCGTTACAATGATTGCAATCCCCTCCATGTACCATCAGTTAACAGTATTTACTTCTACTTTCTTTAACTCTTGGCATTCCTCCCTGTGTCTCCCACTACCTTCATCTTTCCTATGCCAATCTGCCTCTTGTATATTGCCTGCCCTATCACACATTAACATGCCATGAATAATTGTCTCCCCCACAACCCTGCCCCCTTAACTATCATAGAATGTTTAATTTAGCAAGATGATGTTTCACAACAGTGATTTCATACAGTGTTTGTCCTTTTGTGATTGATTAATTTCACTCAACATAATGTCTTCTGGCTTCATCCATGTTGTGTGTTGTGAGGTGTTTTGCAGATTCATCCTTATTTTTCAGTGTTGCATAGTATTCCACTGTGTGTATGTACCAAAGTTTTTAACCACTCTTCTGTTAATGGACATTTAAACTGTCTCTATCTTTGTGCTGTTTGAATACTTCTGTAATGGACATGGGTGTGCATTTAGCTCTTTGGGTCACAGCTCTTATTTCTTGAGGATATACATTAGGTAAGGTGTAGAGTCGGAGAAAAAGAGGAAGACCCCCAGTGAGATGGATTGGCAAAGTGGCAGCATCAATGGGCTCAAGCATGGCAACAGTAGTGAGGTTGGCCCAGAATCAGGCAATGTTTCATTCTGCTGTGGATAAGGGCGCTATGAGTCGGTACCAGCTCGATGGTACTTAACACCAACAACAATGTATTAGGTAGAGGGATTGATGGGTTATATGGTATTTCTGTTTCCAGCCTTTTGAGAAAATGTCATATCATTTTCCTGAGTGGTTGCACTATTTTGCGGTCCCACCAGCAGTGTTGAGGGATTCCAGTCTCCTCACACCCTAGCCATAATTTGGCATTTTCTGTTTCCTTTTTTAAATTTTGCCATTAATGCTGGAGGAAGAATATAACTTATTATTGTTTTGATTGGCATCTCTCCAATGCTAGTGATCATGAGCATTTCTTCCTATGTTTATTGGCCTCCTAAATAACTTCTTTGGTGAAGTGTTGGTTCATGTCTTCTGCCCATTTTTTAATTGAATTATTTGTCTTTTTTTTTTCAGGAGTTGAAGTGTTCTATAAATTTTATAGAGTAGTTCTTTGCCTGATATGTCATTGCCAAACATTTTTTCCTAGTCTGAGGGTTCTCTTTTTATTCTTGGTGAAGTGCTTTGTTGCACATCAGTGTCTAATTTTTAGGAGGTACCAGTTATTCATTTTGTCTGCTATTTGGGTATTTTCAGTTGTGTTTTGATAGTGTATTTATGTCATGTAGCAGAGTCCCTAAATCGGTCCTTATTTTTTCATTGGTGATCTTTATAATTCTAGGTTTTACCTTTAGGCCTTTAATCCATGTTGAGTTCTTTTTTTTTTTTATGTTGTATTGTGAATTACGTGATAGTTTACATGGGAGATACATTCACTTTACATTCATCCTATTGTTTATCATTTCATTGCCATGATTACATTCCCCTCCATGCATCATCAAACAACCAAAGGGTATACCCTGTAAGCCTGTCCCACCCAGTGGTTATCAGCACACAGCCCCTCTCTCTCTCTGGGTCTAAGAGACCCCAGCCGCTCCATCTCTCCACATCATTGTCTCTGCTCTCGTGTCTGGTGTCACTGTTTCTCTGGGTACGGCCCCGTACTCTGCTCTTCTACCTTAATGGTCCCAGGGACCTCTGCTCCTGGACTTCAAAGTCAACCACTGCCCTCTTTTTATTACAAAACGTCTACCTTTACATTGTCAACCCTCACAGACCGGATAGCAACTGTTCACTGTTTTACCCCATGAGTCCTATCCCCATCTCTTTTCATCAGACAGTTTGTATACTACTCAGTGGAGATTCTACCTTCCTCTGTGCTCTCTGGATCTAGGCTCCCTCTCGAAAGACTGTAAGCCAGTCACTTCTTGCCTTTGTAGACCCCCCATTTTGGGTAGCCAATGTCCAGGTTGCCCATCCCTTGTCCACTCTGCATATGGAGGAGGTGGGAATGATCTTCGCCGTAAATATTTGTTCCCTCTTTTGAGCTACTGCATCCATAGGTGTAGGTCAAGTTCATCAAATTGTATCATATTACTCTTTTTTACCCATCTTATTTCTTCTTTTAGTTGAACTCTGATCATCCAGTCATTGAAGCCAGGTCTAAGTGGGCATTATCTGCAAGTGTGGGTGTTCTTGGGCATATGCCCTCTCTTCTTATCAGCTGGACACTTCACTCTCCACTCTAGTTCTCTGTGGCTATGTCACTGACTCTGGGCCCAATAGTCCCCACTCTCCTTTTTATCTGTTGTAAGTAAAAGGTGTTTTAGGCCACATCCTAGGAAAATTTCCTTACAATTTGTGCACATTTTGTTTAGTGACATTACTTGTAATTCCCTCAAAGTAACAGCACTCTTCCCCCTGCTTCCCTGGGTTCTTCATTTCCATTTCCCGTCCTATGCTGGGGCAGATCTTGATGTTTTATTCTCAAATGGTTGATTGTGCTGAGAAGCACATTGCTCACAAGTATGATTCTTCGCTTCGTAAGCATGTCTGTTGTTTAACTGATAGTTGATCCCTCGAAGTGAGTTTAGTTCTAGGTTTGAGGGGTGTCTAATAGCCATAGTCTCAGGTATTCCACCTGTCTATCAGGTTAATAACTCTGATCTTTTTTATGATTTTGAATTTTATTGTACATTTATCTCCTGTCCAGGACCTTGTATTGTGATCCTAATAAGGGTGGTTGGAAGTGTTAGCTGGGCACCATCTAGTTCTTCTCATCTCAGACTTTTGGAGGCTGTGGTTTGCGTGGTTCATTTGTCCTTTGGACTATTTCCTTGAGTCTATGATTTTCTTCAATTTTTGCTCTAGATGAGAAGCATCTTAGCTGCTCCCAAACTGACCTTGGTTGTTGCTCTCCAAAGAAAGACAGTTGTCTTTGAAGACTGTGCTATGCCAGTTGATCTAGCTGTCCCCTGAGGCTATTGTCCTAAGAGCTCAAGACCAGTGACTTAGTCTTTAAAGGTATTTCTTTATACCAAGGAAGTTATCATACTTTGCTTCCTGTATTCTCTACTACATACCTGGATATATTTGCAGTACATACACGTACACATGTAGA